AAAAACAGTTCTTTTTTCTACAGTTGCATCAAAGGTTCTACTAACGAAGAATTGTTGTACATCAAACTTTGGCATATATAAATTTTTATTTCCTGTTTTAAACAGTGATTTAAGTTTGCAAGAAAGGATTGTACAGAATAAAAACAATATTTTCGACTTGGAATAAGGGTAAAACTCTTGTTTTTGCAAGCGCACAAAGTTGGTAATTTTTTGAATTTTAGTTTGTAAAGATACTGATTTCACTTATCCGAAAAGTATATATCTTTGCTTAATTTAGGGTTACAGCAGAGATTTGGTGAAACGATGCAGTAAAAGTTGCCAAATTTGTAATTACAAAGGTGTATAGTATTGTAGCTGTCTATAACGACCATTGGAAACTTTTTAGTTTCAATATTGAATAATAAATCAAAAAAAGAATGAGATCAAGTGTAATTTTTATAGCACCGTAGTGTCTCACGTAATATATCAAGATTTTTTCTGCAAAAGATGGTAAGAATTAAGATAGCAAAGGTTAGATAAAACACGAATTTTTCTCCTGAGGATGCTGATTTCGGACTGAAATAGAGCTGTCAGTTATTTGAAGAAAAAAATGGGGAATTTTTGATTCAATTTCAGGGTGTGACGGTGCAGCTGCGAGCTGTGTGAAGGACGCTGAGCTCTGTGACGGCCTTTTTCTTGAAATCTTATATTCAGGCAGTGTTAAATAACTTGTCGATATTGCAATTTCCAGTTTTTAAAATAAAAAATTCTGGAATATTGAAACAAGAATTAATAATTTTTTTGAGAAAAACTGAAATATTTTTTCAAAAAGCACCGTTAAAAATTCAGTAAAAGAACTTATTCAATTGCAGCAGCAGTCTTTTTTCAAAATGGAGTGACACAAACTGTCAAATTCAAAAGAGAAGAAAGTCTCATTCGAATTTAAATGCAGAATACACTGCTCTAGGAAACATCAAATTCGGCGGTCATTTTTAGGAAACCATAAGCAAATTGTTTAAAAACTCAAAAATTTCGTTCAAGCTAATAATTATGCCACAAATGAAGTCAGCAAACATATTGTACAGCATAATTCCACAGAACAAGCAGCTTCAAAAGCTAATAGTATCTCGGCTCATAGTACCTTAAACATTAGGAATCTTTTTGCTTGCAAAATAACATTCATTCTTTAGTTACGTAAAATTCGTCGCTTTCGTTTCACAAAACGGTCCGAAATCTTGATATTCTGTAGAAAAAGCTAAGGCGAAGTAGATATTCGTAGCTTTTTTTGATGTTTAAAAAAGTTAGACTCAAACAAAAGGTGGACAATCACATTTTTTTTTACAATTTACGAATGTTTGTTGACCTGTACAAGCCAGTCGAGAAAAATGAGGCATTTAGTAAAATAAGAAAGTTCCAACGTAATAAATGGTAGGCCTGCATAAGATTAAATTCAGGTAATTTGCAAAGATTTGAAACAGAAAAGCTCTTTTTCTTGCCTCCTTTCTAAGAGTCAAGCATGATAGATATGATATATTTCTTGATATTTCAATTTCAATTGTGAAAAATTTGAATACAGTGGCCTCACAAACTTTTCAACAAAAAATCTTATTTAAAACTACGCCTTTTGCTGATTTTTTCACAGATATTTGAAATAAGTATCATCCATAACCATTTGCAAACTTGAAGAGTTTTGGTTGCGTCAAAGATTATGTTATGAAAATGGTGCCATAATGGCCATTTTGGTGTCAGAATTTATAATTATCTACTGCATAATAAAAGTATTTTTTTACTTATTTTGCCAAAATTATTTTTTACTACCTCAAGAAAGTGATTGGCTTATGTGTGAACGAAAATAGAAAATAAGTACTCATTTTATGTGTGAAAAAATACTGATGTCAATCAGTTTTTAAAAAAAAGTTAGTCTTTTTGATAAAACTTTTTGATTTTTTAGTGACTTCTTTTTTTTGCAGAAGCGGTCATAAAAAGGCTTGCGTATATATGTATGTATATATGTTTAATGTACGTGCATACGTATACGTATAAGTATAAATTTGCTCTTGTTCTAAAAAACAACATACATATGTATATTTTATAAAAGTAAAGCTAATTTTTTTTGTCTTTTTTCAAGCTATCTTTTCTGAGCAATTTAAGGTATTTCAATAAAAATACGGTCCTGATTTTACTCATGCAACAAACTTTTTTTAGCTTTCAAATTTTTTATTATAAAAAATGATTTTTTAAAAATATTTCAGTGAAGAATGCAAGTTGATTGTAGTCAGAAAAATTCTTTCAAAAACCTAAAAATCACCGCTTTACAACTAGCTAAATGTAAATTCGTTCTTGTTCTAAATAATTTCTTTTTATTCAGAGTTTTTAAAAGAGGTTAGCAGAGGTTAAAGTAAGGAAATGAAAATCGTGGCGAGGACACTAACTATGTTTAGTTTCAGATTCTCGTTTTTCACTGATCATTTGCATCAACTGCTTGAATATTAAACATTTAAACTATTTTTAATCAGTTTTCTGCCTTCAAATGTGATTCTGGAAAAAATGGATTTCATGCAGACAGCAGACCTTTTGTTAAACATCAGTCTTTTCAATTTTGTCAAGGTAAGAAACAGTTTTCTAACCGGCAAAATACTGTATCAATTACTTTAAAAAAATAGTATTGCTTCGTTTTACAAATTCCATTTCTTATTTGTCATATCTTCTACCACCTAATTTATTTTGAAGACATCTGTCTAAATCGTGAGAAGTGAATTCTGTAAAGCAAACTTCTAACATCCTCAGTGTTTCAGTCAGAATAATTGGTGCTTGGCTTCAATAAACTTATCTTCAGCTTTTTTTTTTTATTAAAATTAAGTAAAATTACTTGCTTAAAGTCACTAGAAAAGTTACACAGAAATGAAGAGAAACTGAAAGACGGAAGAAAGGTCTGGAAAGACTCATTGCAGTAAATGTACATTTCTTCTAAAAGTCCATCTGTAAAGCAAAACGGCAGTACATTAAAAAAAAAAAAAAAAAAAAAAAAAAAAAAAAA